CTCCATGGTTCTCCTATGACTAATGGATGCCTACTACTAGTTACAGGAGGAGAGCTACGCTGGCGGGGTCCCTTCATCCCAGTGCTCTTTGTCCCATGACGCTCTGAAACTATTGACAGTTGTTATACTTAGATCTTGATGCTGACACTTGTCTTGCACAAAGTAAATATGAAAACCACATTTCCTCCATGTACTAACAACTTATGCCAGTTCTTGTACTTCTAGGTAAATGGCTTCTACACTTCTGGGAGGATCAGCGCCATGGTAAGGTTGTGTCTCAGTACTTACGCTCACACAATATATTTTGTTCCATAAAAAAAGACAGACATAATGAGTTTTACACTCTACAGGAAATATATATACACTATGGGGGGGGGGCGTGACAGCTGAGTGGACAGCGCTTCGGATTCGTAGTCCTGAGGTTCCGGGTTCGATCCCTGGTGGAGGCGGAAACAAATAGGCAGAGTTTCTTTCACCCTGATGCTCCTGTTACCTAGCAGTAAATAGGTACCTGGGAGTTAGACAGCAGTTGCTACGGGCTACTTCCTGGGGGTGTCTAACAAAAAGGAGGCCTGGTCGAGGACCGGGCCGCGGGGACGTTAAGCCCCGAAATCATTTCAAGGAATCTCAGGATATGGGGGTTATGCGTCGTTACCCGAAACTGTCTATCTCTCCTTCTATCTATTCACTCATTTTTCTGTCTATTTATATATCCATCCATCTATGTATCCATCTATATGTTCACCCATTTATCAACCCATCTATTTATCCACTTACCAGTCAATACATCCATATATCCATCTGTATGTATCCATCTATCTCTCTATACCTCTATCTATAATCCAAATATCCACTGTTTCAGCTTCTCTGCCGCTGTCTGTCTCTGTCATTGTGTTTCTCCTTATCACTGTCTCGGTTTTGGACTGTCTGTCAAAAACCGAGACTTATAACAACTTACAATTGTCTTATGTTCTCGTGGTCGCCATTGAGTGGAGCTCACTGGTGAGCAATACTTACAAAACAGAATAATTACCCCTAACTCTGATACACGGCCAAGGATTTGAAGCTCTGGAAGAATCGACTATTTAATGCGAATACGGGCAAATTATTAACAGCAGGAAATTTCTGCTAATTTTTCAGAATTCACTGAATAATGAAGCATATTACTTTAAAAAAAATCTCTGGAAAAGCTGGGTTTGAAAATATTTAGCTGTGTAGCTGGCAGGCAGAGCCAAAAATCGTCGTGGGGGTTTGAATGTGACCTTGGCATGCTGTTTGTTCTCTTTTAAATTCTGGCGACCCTTACCAGCCCATGTTCAGGATCCCAGACCTCGAACGTAGACTGGGACCATTCCCTCTGGCAATTTGGGTAAGCCTAGCCCCAACCATGTGGTCTCCAACTTTTAACAAACAGAAAGACATTCTCTCCTATTGTATACATATATCTATGGTTAAAGAGAAGATGTCTACCTATCTGTCTGTTCAAAGTTGGAGACCAGATGCTTGGGGCTAGGCTCACACAAACTGGCAGAAGGAATGGTTTGGGGTTCAGTATGGTCATAGGCATGTCGGAATGAAAGAATTTAGAAAGGGAACAGACTGCCAGGGTCACATTCAGACTCCTGCCATAATTTTTGGCACTGCCTGCTAGCTATGTAAATATTTTGAAAAACTTTTAAATACAATTTTATATATTTTAATAATATGTAACGTTATTCACTAACGTCAGGAAAATTAACAGAATATTTCTGATATTTATACTTAGGCCATATTCCGATTAAACATGTAATTTACATATAGTCACCACTCCTCGTACAATCCGTCCTCAGACCTAGTTCATTCCATCTAGCAGTCAACCCCTAAGACCCATTCATAATTTTTAAAATGTTGTTCATTCAAAACAGGAATTTTCTCAAATATAAATAAATATTATTATACATTAGCATTCTGTACATATTTAGGCATTGGTTAGGTTAGGTTAGGTTAGGTGTTTAGATTCTGTTGGCGATTATTTGTGTTTGTAGTACGTGGGAGAAGCAGTAACAGCATTGTGGATCAAAGAAAACTCGTCAATGAAGCACTTGTTTGAGAAACGTTCGAATGTCATCAGTTGTGAGTCGTGTGTTAACCGGTTTTCATTCATAAACAGAAGTTTTGGCAAGTGCTTGGAGTGGATCTTAGCCTTTGCTTATGAGGACGGGCTGCCTCCTATAGCATCACTAACTAAAATCAGATACATATCTTTCCATAGATAAATAAATAGCAGAAGGGTAACAATATTATTTGAAACAAAATATGCAAAATATATTTTTCATCAAGTGATATTCAAAAATATTCATTGATTTCTGAAAAAAAGAAATGTTTAGATATATTCAAACTTCAGTAATACTAACATAATCACGTAAATTCAACACTGCCACCTCTCCTGATCGTCGCATCAATCCAGTCGGCTTTATCAACGTCCCGAAGCTGTAAGGTAATGGGGTGACTATTAAATTTGAAATCAAAACTATTAAGTTATATTTTCTAAGATAGAAAGAGATGAAGAGCAATGCAGATAGATATGCAGAACGATATAGATAGAAGTGGAGAGAGAGAGAGATAGAGAAGGGGGGGAGGGGAAGAGAGAGACGGAGAGATTGAATGGGAGAGAGACAAACACAGAGGCAGTGCCACTGGAAATAGATACCACCTAGAACACCTTGGCACAAAGGGTGTTATGAATGAATGGTGGGGAGCGAAACGCTGTTCGTGTAAAATGCTACTTTGGCAGAAATTAGTTCTCCAAAATCTCCAAATCACAGAGATAGAAGACAGAGTCAATAACAAACCACTGACTGATCTCTTGGAGGACATTTTACAGCAGGAAGCCATTAGTCCTGCTCACCTGATGTATAGGGGGACCTCTGACACCCGCCCCATCCTTCGTAGACCAGGAACACAGAGAGAGCCTTCCTGCATCAGCGAGACCGACTTTGTTCAGAGGTAAACATATATCGCGAGTTATCAGTCACTGGGATGATATTTTAGGCAGGTAGTATTTGACATCCTTGTGTGAGCACCATTATGAGTCTAACTTCCCCTATAATGGAATAAATTTACAATCTGGCGACATTGTTCTTGTTTGGCAGCGACGGCCACAATCAGAGTAATGTATAGCGTATGTTGCTTCTTTTCAAGAGGACAGCCAGGTAATCCTGAGAATAGTGAAAGTATTCTCAGGACCACTACTACCACACAAGGACACCACTACTCTCAAATCGCTAGAAAAATTAATGCACATAGAGTCCGTAGGGAAGGTAAGCTCAGAGAGACCTCAAAACCCAACAACTTCAATACGGGACATCCGTCCAGTCCGCAAAGCCGCACGAAAGTGCAACTTAAAGCTAAAGTTCCCCTTTGTCTTGAACTCTTAGGGAGAATAATGCTCAGCCAGTCCTGAGCAATTGTCTCCGACTCCTGTTCTCTCCTCCGGAATTTCTTTGGGAAATAATTATTGCTGTGGTAGCAAATACTAAATATTACCAAATAACTTTTATTGGAAGTAAAACCTCTGTTTCTAGATGAATTAATAATTAATACATAAATCCTAACTGTATAGTGTGCCTACCAAGGCAATGCTTTCCTATCCATTATTTCACTTATCATTATAATCAAATCAACAGTCAACATTACTTTCATACTAGTTTAAAATTATGCTTTAACGAACATAACATTAGTTCTTTAAGGACACATCGAACACTTTATGTAGGGCATACGTAAATCTGTGTATCTATGTATTTACGTATGTTGGTTAGCTTAGCATTTTAAAAGCACCGAATCACCTTCTGTGGTTGATTGTTCAATAAACCCTTGAACTATATGTTTAACACATCTCTAACCCTGTCCATGGAGGACAGACGAAAATGTATATATGCTGGTTAGCATTGTAAATGTGTGGCCACGTCTGTGGTAGAAAATAATAATAATAAAAAAAATTCTTTAAGAACTATTCGGAACTAGTGTTGACTTGTTTACAAATTACTAAGTAATAAAATTATGACGTCTCTAATAATCACTAATTATAATAGTCTCTGTTGTGAGAGTGACGGCGCTGGGGGCTTCTTCCTCACGCCGTCATTACTGCTGTTGTGAGAGTGACGGCGCTGGGGGCTTCTTCCTCACGCCGTCATTACTGCCTGACACGCTCCTTCTCACTGACTTAAATCTTCAGCAAGACCTTAGAATCGGCCGATCCAGCCCCACACTTCAGTTATGTGAAAAGTGAAATCCATAGCCACCGTCTTGCTCTGTTTTTTGGCCAAATTTAGGAGTATATAGGTGTTAGGATAAGGGATGGCTGGGCGTGGTTACCAAGAATGAAAACAAGACATACATGACACTTGACCGATCTTAATCTTCATAGTTTCCTACCTTGTGCTTTAAACTCGCACTGTATTCAGTGCCACCCATTCCCCCAATATATGGAACTAATACATACAACTTTACCATTGTAATAATTGCTATCACTTTAATAACACTATAAGGTATTATTACCAAGTAAGTTATTACTTGGAAAATCTGATATCTGAATTATTATTATTATTATTAATGCGATACCAAGTAAGATAATAACAAGAATTAAATCTAATCTCAACTGTTAATGTGGAACAGTCATTAATCATAGGTTGATTCTTGTCAGTCTAATAATAAATCTGGTGGCCAGAGGAGTTTGTTAACCCGGGTTGACCCCCGGGGAGGACGCTGGAGAGGCCATATTGTGACCCCGGGGAGGACGCTGGAGAGGCCATATTGTGACCCCGGGGAGGACGCTGGAGAGGCCATATTGTGACCCCGGGGAGGACGCTGGAGAGGCCATATTGTGACCCCCGGGGAGGACGCTGGGGAGGCCATATTGTGACCCCCGGGGAGGACGCTGGAGAGGCCATATTGTGACCCCGGGGAGGACGCTGGAGAGGCCATATTGTGACCCCGGGGAGGACGCTGGGGAGGCCATATTGTTACCCCCGGGGAGGACGCTGGAGAGGCCATATTGTGACCCCCGGGGAGGACGCTGGAGAGGCCATATTGTGACCCCCGGGGAGGACGCTGGAGAGGCCATATTGTGACCCCGGGGAGGACGCTGGAGAGCCATATTGTGACCCCCGGGGAGGACGCTGGAGAGCCATATTGTGACCCCCGGGGAGGACGCTGGAGAGCCATATTGTGACCCCCGGGGAGGACGCTGGAGAGCCATATTGTGACCCCCGGGGAGGACGCTGGAGAGCCATATTGTGACCCCCGGGGAGGACGCGCCATATTGTGACCCCCGGGGAGGACGCTGGAGGCCATATTGTGACCCCGGGGAGGACGCTGGAGAGGCCATATTGTGACCCCCGGGGAGGACGCTGGAGAGGCCATATTGTGACCCCGGGGAGGACGCTGGAGAGGCCATATTGTGACCCCGGGGAGGACGCTGGAGAGGCCATATTGTGACCCCCGGGGAGGACGCTGGAGAGGCCATATTGTGACCCCGGGGAGGACGCTGGAGAGGCCATATTGTGACCCCCGGGGAGGACGCTGGAGAGGCCATATTGTGACCCCGGGGAGGACGCTGGAGAGGCCATATTGTGACCCCGGGGAGGACGCTGGAGAGGCCATATTGTGACCCCCGGGGAGGACGCTGGAGAGGCCATATTGTGACCCCCGGGGAAGACGCTGGAGAGGCCATATTGTGACCCCCGGGGAGGACGCTGGAGAGGCCATATTGTGACCCCCGGGGAGGACGCTGGAGAGGCCATATTGTGACCCCCGGGGAGGACGCTGGAGAGGCCATATTGTGACCCCCGGGGAGGACGCTGGAGAGGCCATATTGTGACCCCCGGGGAAGACGCTGGAGAGGCCATATTGTGACCCCCGGGGAGGACGCTGGAGAGGCCATATTGTGACCCCCGGGGAGGACGCTGGAGAGGCCATATTGTGACCCCCGGGGAGGACGCTGGAGAGGCCATATTGTGACCCCCGGGGAGGACGCTGGAGAGGCCATATTGTGACCCCCGGGGAGGACGCTGGGGAGGCCATATTGTGACCCCGGGGAGGACGCTGGAGAGGCCATATTGTGACCCCCGGGGAAGACGCTGGAGAGGCCATATTGTGACCCCCGGGGAGGACGCTGGAGAGGCCATATTGTGACCCCGGGGAGGACGCTGGAGAGGCCATATTGTGACCCCCGGGGAGGACGCTGGAGAGGCCATATTGTGACCCCCGGGGAGGACGCTGGAGAGGCCATATTGTGACCCCCGGGGAGGACGCTGGAGAGGCCATATTGTGACCCCCGGGGAGGACGCTGGGGAGGCCATATTGTGACCCCCGGGGAGGACGCTGGAGAGGTCATATTGTGACCCCCGGGGAGGACGCTGGAGAGCCATATTGTGACCCCGGGGAGGACGCTAGGGAGGCCATATTGTGACCCCCGGGGAGGACGCTGGAGAGGCCATATTGTGACCCCGGGGAGGACGCTGGAGAGGCCATATTGTGACCCCCGGGGAGGACGCTGGGGAGGCCATATTGTGACCCCCGGGGAGGACGCTGGAGAGGCCATATTGTGACCCCCGGGGAGGACGCTGGAGAGGCCATATTGTGACCCCCGGGGAGGACGCTGGAGAGGCCATATTGTGACCCCCGGGGAGGACGCTGGGGAGGCCATATTGTGACCCCCGGGGAGGACGCTGGAGAGGCCGTATTGTGACCCCCGGGGAGGACGCTGGGGAGGCCATATTGTGACCCCCGGGGAGGACGCTGGGGAGGCCATATTGTGACCCCCGGGGAGGACGCTGGAGAGGCCATATTGTGACCCCCGGGGAGGACGCTGGGGAGGCCATATTGTGACCCCGGGGAGGACGCTGGAGAGGCCGTATTGTGACCCCCGGGGAGGACGCTGGGGAGGCCATATTTTGACCCCCGGGGAGGACGCTGGAGAGGCCGTATTGTGACCCCCGGGGAGGACGCTGGAGAGGCCATATTGTGACCCCCGGGGAGGACGCTGGGGAGGCCATATTGTGACCCCGGGGAGGACGCTGGAGAGGCCGTATTGTGACCCCCGGGGAGGACGCTGGGGAGGCCATATTGTGACCCCCGGGGAGGACGCTGGGGAGGCCATATTGTGACCCCCGGGGAGGACGCTGGGGAGGCCATATTGTGACCCCCGGGGAGGACGCTGGGGAGGCCATATTGTGACCCCCGGGGAGGACGCTGGAGAGGCCATATTGTGACCCCGGGGAGGACGCTGGGGAGGCCATATTGTGACCCCCGGGGAGGACGCTGGAGAGGCCATATTGTGACCCCCGGGGAGGACGCTGGAGAGGCCATATTGTGACCCCGGGGAGGACGCTGGAGAGGCCATATTGTGACACGTGTGCGAGGCTTCCCTACGCTTCCTGCCAGCTAAGGCTTTATTTTCATAAACTACAAACCTTGATTTATGCTGTCCAGTTATTACTGATAAATTAAATATTCTCGATATATAAAGTAAGTTGCTGTTTGCATTACATTGTTAGTGATGCCCTTGGTGAGTTAAGAGTTGCCATACACGTTGTCCAGAGTGATGCTGGTTCCTGTACAGTTGTCCAGAGTGCTGCTGGGTCCTGTACAGTTGTCCAGAGTGCTGCTGGGTCCTGTACAGTTGTCCAGAGTGCTGTTGGGTCCTGTACAGTTGTCCAGAGTGCTGCTGGGTCCTCTACAGTTGTCCAGAGTGCTGCTGGGTCCTGTACAGTTGTCCAGAGTGCTGCTGGGTCCTATACAGTTGTCCAGAGTGCTGCTGGGTCCTGTACAGTTGTCCAGAGTGCTGCTGGGTCCTCTACAGTTGTCCAGAGTGCTGCTGGGTCCTGTACAGTTGTCCAGAGTGCTACTGGATCTTGTACAGTTGTCCAGAGTGCTGCTGGATCTTGTACAGTTGTCCAGAGTGCTGCTGGATCTTGTACAGTTGTCCAGAGTGCTGCTGGGTCCTCTACAGTTGTCCAGAGTGCTGCTGGATCTTGTACAGTTGTCCAGAGTGCTGCTGGGTCCTGTACAGTTGTCCAGAGTGCTGCTGGGTCCTGTACAGTTGTCTAGAGTACTGCTGGGTCGTATGCAGTTGTCCATAGTGCTGCTGGATCCTGTACAGTTGTCCAGAGTGCTGCTGGGTCGTATGCAGTTGTCCATAGTGCTGCTGGGTCCTGTACAGTTGTCCATAGTGCTGCTGGGTCCTGTACAGTTGTCCAGAGTGCTGCTGGGTCCTGTACAGTTGTCCAGAGTGCTGCTGGGTCCTGTACAGTTGTCCATAGTGCTGCTGGGTCCTCTGAGTTTTGAGTGATTATAAACAAATGCAATTGTTAAACAGTCCACTGCTCACCCAAATCAGCAATAGGTCCATCACAGCACATGTCTAAAAAAAACGACTGATCGAACAATATCCATTTTTTTTAATCATGTACTACATTTTCAGAAGACACATTGGGTATGGGTGTTGAGGAGGACTCACCAGATGATCAGAAAAGCTTCCACACCGACACCGTCCCCGGCGGCGCCCCCGGCGGCGTCCTCGGCGGCGTCCCCGGCGGCGTCCCCGGCGGCGCCCCCGGCCGTAATCTTCACTCACGCCCTCCAGGTCATGTCAGACGTGATACGGGAGGGGGTCAGAGGCGTCTTGCTGGCTGACTCAATACTCTCACCCGCAACAACATTTACTCATGATAGTGATTCATCAGCTACCCATTCAGGGAAGGCTGGGCAGCAACATCCAAAAATTTCTCAGTGAGTTTTCACGTTTTGTCTATATATGTGGCCGAGCCTTTTTTAAATTATTATTTGTATTCATAATGTTAGGAATATTAAATAAACATGACCACTTGTAATTCTCACATGAAAGATGACTAAACTGTTTGTTATATTAGTATTATATATGTTCTGATATATGTATGTACATCAGGTGCTCCTCCAGGAGGTTGGTGTACATCAGGTGCTCCTCCAGGAGGTTGGTGTACATCAGGTGCTCCTCCAGGAGGTTGGTGTACATCAGGTGCTCCTCCAGGAGTTTGGTGTACATCAGGTGCTCCTCCAGGAGGTTGGTGTACATCAGGTGCTCCTCCAGGAGGTTGGTGTACATCAGGTGCTCCTCCAGGAGGTTGGTGTACACCAGGTGCTCCTCCAGGAGGTTGGTGTACATCAGGTGCTCCTCCAGGAGGTTGGTGTACATCAGGTGCTCCTCCAGGAGGTTGGTGTACATCAGGTGCTCCTCCAGGAGGTTGATGTACATCAGGTGCTCCTCTAGGAGGTTGATGTACATCAGGTGCTCCTCCAGGAGGTTGGTGTACATCAGGTGCTCCTCCAGGAGGTTGGTGTACATCAGGTGCTCCTCCAGGAGGTTGGTGTACATCAGGTGCTCCTCCAGGAGGTTGGTGTACATCAGGTGCTCCTCCAGGAGGTTGGTGTACATCAGGTGCTCCTCCAGGAGGTTGGTGTACATCAGGTGCTCCTCCAGGAGGTTGGTGTACATCAGGTGCTCCTCCAGGAGGTTGGTGTACATCAGGTGCTCCTCCAGGAGGTTGGTGTACACCAGGTGCTCCTCCAGGAGATTGGTGTACATCAGGTGCTCCTCCAGGAGATTGGTGTACATCAGGTGCTCCTCTAGGAGGTTGGTGTACATCAGGTGCTCCTCCAGGAGGTTGGTGTACATCAGGTGCTCCTCCAGGAGGTTGGTGTACATCAGGTGCTCCTCCAGGAGGTTGGTGTACATCAGGTGCCCCTCCAGGAGGTTGGTGTACATCAGGTGCCCCTCCAGGAGGTTGGTGTACATCAGGTTCCCCTCTAGGAGGTTGGTGTACATCAGGTTCCTCTCCAGGGGACCAGTGTACACCAGGTGCTCCTCCAGGGGTCCAATGTACACCAGGTGCTCCTCCAGGGGTCCAATGTACACCAGGTGCTCCTCCAAGGGTCCAATGTACACCAGGTGCTCCTCCAGGGGACCAATGTACACCAGGTGCTCCTCCAGGGGTCCAATGTACACCAGGTGCTCCTCCAGGGGTCCAATGTACACCAGGTGCTCCTCCAGGGGACCAGTGTACATCAGCGTGGTAATGTTTACTGTTTCCTGCAGGAGGGTGATGGTAGGGGGCGTGACAGCGCCGGGAGACGGGTCGTGGAGGCTGGAGGCAGCGGCCTGGTGGCTGCAGGAGGAGCTGACGGTGTGGAGGCCACTGTGGCCCCCAGTCTCCTTCAACCTGCACCAGAGACCCGTCAGACTCGCCGTTAACAGGGTCTGTGTCCCACGCTCCTACTCCCTCTATATATTGACCATTATGTCAATTTATACAATTATTGTAATGCACTAATGCATCAGTTTTAATCTTTAAATATCAAATGCGTCCAGGAGCTTCGGAGCAGTTCAATACATCTGCCTAAAAATATAAATTATAATTAAATTTGTTCAGTTTAATACAATATGAAAGTAATACCCCAACATTGTGATGCAGACCGCCATGCTGTGAGCTCTTATTATCAGTAACTCGTTCTTAACCGGTCGACCTCTGAGCCATTCTTCGTGTAGCAGCTGCGAATGTTTATAATGTGTTTAGCACCTGACAACATTCCTGTTAGGTACAGGGTGCAGCTGGAGGCGTCTGTGGGGGCCAGAGGTAATGTTAGGTACAGGGTGCAGCTGGAGGCGTCTGTGGACCTGAGGTAATGTTAGGTACAGGGTGAAGCTGGAGGCGTCTGTGGAACTGAGGTAATGTTAGGTACGGGGTGAAGCTGGAGGCGTCTGTGGACCTGAGGTAATGTTAGGTACGGGGTGAAGCTGGAGGCGTCTGTGGACCTGAGGTAATGTTAGGTACAGGGTGAAGCTGGAGGCGTCTGTGGGGACCAGAGGTAATGTTAGGTACAGGGTGAAGCTGGGGTCGTCTGTGGACCTGAGGTAATGTTAGGTATATGGTGAAGCTGCAGGCGTCTGTGGGGACCAGAGGTAATGTTAGGTACAGGGTGAAGCTGGAGGCGTCTGTGGACCTGAGGTAATGTTAGGTACAGGGTGAAGCTGGAGGCGTCTGTGGACCTGAGGTAATGTTAGGTGCAGGGTGAATCTGGAGGCGTCTGTGGACTTGAGGTAATGTTAGGTACAGGGTGAAGCTGGAGGCGTCTGTGGACCTGAGGTAATGTTAGGTACAGGATGAAGCTGGAGGCGTCTGTGGGGGCCAGAGGTAATGTTAGGTACAGGATGAAGCTGGAGGCGTCTGTGGGGGCCAGAGGTAATGTTAGGTACAGGATGAAGCTGGAGGCGTCTGTGGGGGCCAGAGGTAATGTTAGGTGTATAGTGAAGCTGGAGGTGTCTGTGGGGACCAAAGGTAATGTTAGGTACAGGATGAAGCTGGAGGCGTCTGTGGGGACCAGAGGTAATGTT